CACCGATTTTCGTGTTTTTTGTCAATTTTCAAACAGCTATATTAAAAAATTGGTGATATTTTTTAAATCTTGAAAACAATTCTAGAATCATGGACACTTCCATTATTAAATGTCTTCACTCTTTTGATTTTCTGAGACAGTTTTTCTCAGTAAAATATTGGGGGTACATAGGTACCCAAACCATACATACTCCTTTGTGACAATCGGATCAAACGAACCTCCTAGGATGTCGAACGAAATACGGAGACAAATTCGGAAACACAAACGTGTACATAAGAAAGTCAAACTAGTCTTAGCGATGCTCATTGGGGAAATTTCGCCGTATCCGTAATAAATGTGTTAATACTATACAGCAGGCTAAATTCAAATATATTGATAATATATGCAAATAACTTTCAATTTCTTCAAATCTCAATGCAAAGGACTGGTGGAAAACCGTACATTTACTATTACCGAACTCCGGAAAACTCTGCATACCACCTCTTCTTCACAATGACACCTGTACCTCTGATGATTTTGAGAAATCTTGTTTATTTCACGACTTCTTCTGATGATGAATCTATTGATGAATTTCACGCTGTCCTTCCTAAAATTATTGATGAGTATAACAACAGTTTATCTAATATCAATACATCTGTTTTCGATGTAAGAGATGTTATACTTAACCTTGATTGTTCTAAAAATGTTGGCCCAATTCTAGTGAATCCATGGTTACTTAAAGACTCTGATGTATTTCCATCATAATGGAAAAATGCAAATGTCGCTCCTGTTCATAAAAAGAAAAGTCCATTTTAACTAATTATAGGCCTATATCTTTATTATCTATACTTGGTAAATTGATAGAAAAGTTTGTCTACAAACATGTCTATGAATTCCTGCAAGTCAATTCCCTATTATCAGCTCATCAGTCTGGATTTAGACACGGCTATTCCCCCATCAACTCATGATGTGTACTCTACCCTAGATAACGGTCAAGAAATACGAATGGTCTTTTGTGATATAAGCAAATCATTCGATCGGGTTTAGCATAAGGGTCTTCTTCTTAAAATTTCAAGCTTTGGAATTCGGGGCTCACTAATAAATTGGTTTGAAAATAATCTTCATATCAACATTATTAACGGCAAAGTTCAAATTGGTCTGAAGGGAAAGCTGGTGTTCCTTAGGGTTCCATTCTTGGACCTCTTTTGTTCTGAATTTCTTAAATAATGACCATAGTAAAATCCATGAGTGGTTGGTAAGTGGATTGGTAAATTTAAACCCTGCTAAAACTGAAACTGTTTTAATAAGTAGGAAATATATTGCCCCTTTCCATCTTGTTGCAATAAATCACACAATCTCAGTCAAATTGCTCTTATTCGGTGAGGACGAGTAATTAAACGATGAAAATGCGTTCATTTTTTACATGTACGCTAAATTTCATCCTCAGATCGAAAATATTTGAATAAAAGTTCTTTATTTTCTCTCAATACACGCATGTCCAGGTCTTTCATTTATCATGAGCTTTATAAATATGCAGTTACTATATATTTTGAAATTGTTTCATGGTATATCTGAGCGATCCAGTCCCCTTTCTCCCTCCTCTTCTCCTATAGACAATATACTATGAGTATTACTGTTTTTTTCACTTCTCACATAGTATAGTAGTTTATGTCCTAAATTTCGATTGCGTTTTCTCTAACTGGAGATGGAGTTATATAAATCGTAAACTTGTTTCCATATCCAATTTCAATTACGTGTTTAATGTCACTACTGATGACATGTAAAGGTTTTTGATAACGGTTTTTTACCGGGAAATCTTTTTTTGTTAACAGGCGACGACGGTTTGTGCGCATGCGTTATCATTAATGGGGGTTGATTCTGTTTGTTTTTTATTTATTTTTTTTAAATTATGAAAATCAGCTCTGACGCAAATGTATTCAAAAATGTATGCGTGTTAATACCACGGTGTTCCCTCAACAGTGCAACAGATTGCTGTCGTATAAAATAATTCTACTTTGGACCATAGCTGAAATATTTAGATACAAATGGATACAGGCATCGCAACAAAGCCCAATCGTTTTGTTGTTTTTAATATAGTTACATTTGTACCAACAATCATTGCTTTTACCTAGGCTAAATCACCTATTGGCCTGAACATGACCACCAGCGAAAAGAGTTTGGAAATTGTTTTCTTGTTAGAGATATCCCCCACAACTAAGCTAGTTACTTCTGATCCTACATACATCTTTACCAAATTCCATCCTTTTATCAAACTGTGCATTTTATTTCGTTTATCCGCTCCACTATTGTTTCGTCTTACATTTTCGTTGCGGTGGTGGTGTTGGTATGGTATTTCCGTACATCATTCTTACTGTTTCCTTGTGATCTATCGGTATATCCTGTTTTTTTTCTATTTGTGTTCTGTCTTGCTTTAAAGTATTTAAAACTTTGAAACTTTAAGCCGCAAATAAAGATTAAAAATAAAAAAAGCTTTTCTGAAAGAAAAAGTACTCAGCTTTCACTTTGTACACTAGCTTGATTAGAAAGTGCTAAAAGAAATTCGGAATAAGTCAATCCTAATTTGGTATAGAACAAACTTTCTCCATTCAGACACAGTCGGGGCGTGACAGCTCCGAAGGTAGTGAATCAAATTGCTTGTGGAGCTGGGTTTCTAGATCATGAGTATCCGACTTCTGTGTGACAACAGAACTGAGAAGGAACGTATGCATGTAATATTACATTTCCTGTCGTGTAAAGTACACTGTAACATAAATTATACTGCACCCATACATGATAGAAGATTTATCATTTTCATAAAATATTTATGAAAGTGACACTTTAGCAATACAGTATTATTCTATAACAAACACGTCATCAGTTTCTTTCTCGATATAAACAGATTTACTCTCATTTTCTGTCAAAACTGTATCGTCACACTGATTTTGATTTTCTTCCATTTCATTCCTAACGGCACCTTAATGGTTTTTTACCTATTGTCATGAAAGTGCAGGATATTATTACTTTATGCTAAAAAATGCCATACTGCACTAATGTCATACAAAAACATAAGACAGAGATATGTTCACTGAATAATACAGCTTGGATATGATAAAGGATTATACTTCACATAATATTACACAATGTTTTTTTTAATTAATTATATGGGGAATCCTAATCGTCTGTACAGACACGATAAAATGCAAATGAGCAAGCCGCCTATGCACACTTTGATCTGTAAGCATGCACAAAGGCGTCTGAAGAACCTAAACAAAAATGACTTCCTAGCCGAAGCGCGTTCGTGGCAAACGGGTCACGTCATCGCACACAAAACGTAGAAAAGGCCAATGGCAGACAGCTCTCCCTCGAATTACAATAGGAGAGGTGGGACAAGTTTAAGAAAGAAAATTTTTTCCAGAGTAATGAAGAAGTTGTGAAGACTCTCTTAGTCTGTTGGTAAGTGATAAGTCATCATCTCTGGTGATATTTTTTTGTATATCTGATCGTGTTTGGCAGATTTTAACCATCAAATAACAATTCGCCGTGAATTTTAGTAACTATTATATGTTTCACATAGGGTTACCACGCAATTTCTTTCATGATTTCCTTACGAAAGGAGTTAACGTGAAATCTAACTCACCGTTTCGTCACATAATGCCTCCATATCGCGTGCATTTGTTTACAAACAGTCTTCTTCCCGCCGGAGGGCGCAGCGTTCCGCGCCATATTTGGATTATCGCTATTTTTGGCGGGGGCTTCCCCAGATTTTAAACTGACCACACTGGACATCGGCTACGTAGGAGAAAAGTATTATGTATAGATTTGTTAGTCTGGACACAAATATTTTCATTTCCAGCTGAATAGAAAAAATGTTGCTTGACTAAATAGCGCCTTTAAAGAGACGCAAAACAATAGAACGAGTACAATCGACAAGGAGACAAATATTGTGTGCCCCGAAAAAACAAGTAGCGCCCAATGCTTATAAACGACTCCGTGTAAACCATGTTTCGTCCTAGTTTCATCATTTTGCAAACAGTATAAGCCTTTTTATTTTGATCAATGCTGGTTTTATTGAATTGGTTTTAATATAACTGCCATTGTCACTACAAAAATATTTTTCACGATTGGTCAATATGATATTTTTAGGTATCGTGTGGCATGCTCTGCATCTTTTCAGGATAAGAAATTATATTGCACGGTCACATGACAATGCTTCTTAACAAACGCAGAAAAAATATATTGATTCTAGTTTACAATAGTATAGAATAAACACAGCACATCATAGAACGAAAGATATTACACTGTACAAAGCTATCTATCTTTCCAAAAGTATGTGAAATTATTTGATTTGATTATTCATAAGCTATAATGCTAGTCTGGATATCTTCAGTAGTAGGGAATTTTATCAGAACACATATAATCGAAAATATCGCAATGATTTCCATTTTGTTTTCAAGTGTGCAGACAATTGTTGAATGACAAAATACGCCACTAATCATTGGTATATTAAATGAAATCATAACAAATTCATTCTCGCTAAAAACTTGTTTGTTATACAAAATGTAGCGGTTTGTTTGGCATTGTTTGAACAGCGTTAAATTGTCTCCGGAAATGGCTTCCACAAGCATCACAAGTCTTTGAAAAAATCAACAGGTTTCTGAAAATAAGGTAGACAGTCATTTTCACTAATGTTCGTCATAAACTTAACTCTCAGGCTGCTTTCGTATTGGCATTTTTAACGAACTAGTTTCATTCATCCACTAAATATTTTGGACCTGTACATATCAGACAAATGCATTCACAAAATATTTCCACAAATACATTTAACGAAAAATGTTAATCGTTCAAAACCACTACACATTTACATTAATTTTATCTGATGTCAGTCATTTACTTTTTTGTTATGGTACCATACTGCTTGAAAATCATGTTGAAAATAATGTATACGCTTTATAATTTATGATAAGATTTATGTGTCTGTAGGTTAAGTAATGTATTGTATGATTCAACATGAATATTCTGATTCAGTATTTCCGCTCAAAGCTGTCCATATGCTCCTTAGCTTTCATTCGAAGCGAAACAATACTTGAATTCCGTGAATCTACTTCCGGTATTTTACCGGCACAGTTAAAAACACCTGACAAAGCATGAAGTGTGGAGCTCATTGCACAGTTCGAGTTGAACACCGGCGATGAAATGAATGTCGGGTAAGTTGAAATGGATGATGATGATGATGTAAGGGACGAGACGGGGTGAGATGAAGCGTTGTTTGTGATCGGCGAAGTCATCCAGGGGTCAAGCGGAAGTGACGTCCCAAAACCACATCCGGACTTCGTAGTGAGCGCGGACATGGGGTATGTGTCATTTATTTTAATAGCGGAACTTTCGAGTTTTTCCTGCCTTCTCCACTTCGCTCGGCGATTTTGAAACCAAACCTGTAATCGTAGCATAAATGAAATATTATAATTATTAATTGTAACATAAAATTGTACACAACTGTTTACAACTGGATTGCAATTGAGTAAATATATTTACCTAATAATGTACATATTGATGTTGTGTAACGTGATCGAGTGAATTCGCAAATGCGATATTTTTGTGTACATTCATTGGTGTTATATACCCTTGACAAATTGTAATTTCTTGTAAATTTAATGAGATCGGCGTCACTTTCAGAGTGACTTGTAGTATAAACCATTCCAATGCTTTCCGTTGAATACGTTTGCGTAAATGACGATGTTTTACATCGATATTAGAATGATTCATTACATATGATTCATTCCTGCCTTATAATACAAAGGCTTTAACCAGTAAAGAGCAAATTTCGCTCTCAGTTCATTTTAAATAATACTTTGTACTTCTGTTTGATTAGCACAAGATAGACACCAAGTCAACATTAAAACACAATATCCAAAGTCGACAAGCTATAATTTAAATGGAGATAACAAGCTTTATCAAAATAATTGCCAATAAAATGCTTCCTAATTTTGAAGCATTTTACACCCTATTCAGAGCAGACGATTCCACAAAGCAAGAATTGTTCGTAAGGGTATTGACAAGTAACATCAGATATAGCCTAAAGATGTCAACGTTGAAAAACTTGCGGGTTGTCCAGATAATTACTGGCTAGAAAAATGTGTGTTCATGGGTCATCTCATGAAACTGTTAGTGTGGAGTTTGGGTGGCTGAGAAGTAGTCGTCAGGTGTCCTGACGCCACTTTCAATGGCTGCTTGTTTAGCATAAATACTTGAGTAACAATGAGATAATGAACCTAAACGCATCCTCACGAGAAGGCGAGGTGTGTTGAACTGCGGGTGCACCATTGTCGCCTTATCAACAGTCGCGAGATCACTCCTTAGGTGTGGCTATAGAGAAACTCACTCGAGAGCAATTATCGGCCCTCGAACTGAAAAAGTCTTTCTTTCTGTGTTTAGTCTAGCATATAATTGATAGTCTCTGGCAAGGTATTGCCTTGTTGCCTTTTCTGCCTTCCCAATAGAGATTGACTTGTCTGTATTAGGTTAGCAGCTGCCATTTTTCAAAAGATGCACTGTTTATGAAGTTAGCGGACTTGAAGCTAAGTCAATTACAGATCATCATGGTTTGCCTTTGTCGTTAAGGGCCCTTAACATTTATCCAATATCTCTATTCCCTTTCACTAAAAGCTCATTATAGTTGACAAAGGGGGCAAGTAATGATATTAGAGACAGATTATTGGCCATGATAATCAGACATGACGAAACCCATTGAGAGCCACCCCATTTGTTAAGAGTGTTAATGAGCTTATGATATTTGCTTAATAGAGGAGCTAGCTAAGCTGGAAGACAGAAATACGGTGCTTTAGGCTGAAATGATGTTCTTTGACAGAGACGGGGCAGCGCCATGTGTTAGAATCTGTACTTCTCAAATCCTCATTCACTATCTTTTTTTATTTTTATTTTTTCACTTGTTATATATGATGTGTACTTGAATCACTCCCAACTGAGTACATTATGATGTACGTCTATGCGTTCATTACAATTAAATGGTTTTTTTTTCAATTACAGTTATAAGATGGCAGTCGAACAACAGTTTCAGATAAGACAATTTACATGTGCCTGATTTTATAAAGACTTATCGAGATCATAGCTTAAACAAGCATACATGTACTCTCGTCCATCATAATAAACCCCCTATTAAATAAGTATTTATCTTAGTGGGTATGTGATTTGTGTAACCAATATTTCAGCCTCGATGTCTTCTGCCAATGACGCGTCAATGTCATGACGTTCTCACTATATGTGGTCAATTTGACTGTCGTCTGTCAGTGGTGAGTGAACATGATGATGTTCTCTCAGTGTATGGTCAGTGTGACGGTCGTCTGTCAGTGACGAGTCAACATGATGATGTTCTCTCACTGCATGGTCAGTGTTACGGTCGTCTGTCAGTGGCGAGTCAACATAATGCTGTTCTCTCAGTGTATGGTCAGTGTTACGGTCGTCTGTCAGTGACGAGTCAACATGATGATGTTCTCTCACTGCATGGTCAATGTAATGGTCTGTCAGTGGCGAGTCAACATGATGATGTTCTCTCAGTGTATGGTCAATGTGTTGGTCGTCTGTCAGTGGCGAGTCAACATAATGCTGTTCTCTCAGTGTATGGTCAATGTGTTGGTCGTCTGTCAGTGGCGAGTCAACATAATGCTGTTCTCTCAGTGTATGGTCAATGTGTTGGTCGTCTGTCAGTGGCGAGTCAACATAATGCTGTTCTCTCAGTGTATGGTCAGTGTGACGGTCGTCTGTCAGTGACGAGTCAACATGATGATGTTCTCTCACTGCATGGTCAGTGTGATGGTCGTCTGTCAGTGGCGAGTCAACATGATGATGTTCTCTCAGTGTATGGTCAGTGTTACGGTCGTCTGTCAGTGACGAGTCAACATGATGATGTTCTCTCACTGTATGGTCAGTGTTACGGTCGTCTGTCAGTGGCGAGTCAACATGATGCTGTTCTCTCAGTGTATGGTCAATCTAACGGTCGTCTGTCAGTGACGAGTCAACATGATGATGTTCTCTCACTGCATGGTCAATGTGACGGTCGTCTGTCAGTGGCGAGTCAACATGATGATGTTCTCTCAGTGTATGGTCAATGTGACGGTCGTCTGTCAGTGGCGAGTCAACATGATGATGTTCTCTCAGTGTATGGTCAATGTGACGGTCGTCTGTCAGTGGCGAGTCAACATGATGATGTTCTCTCAGTGTATGGTCAGTGTTACGGTCGTCTGTCAGTGGTGAGTCAACATGATGATGTTCTCTCAGTGTATGGTCAGTGTGATGGTCGTCTGTCAGTGACGAGTCAACATGATGATGTTCTCTCAGTGTATGGTCAGTGTGACGGTCGTCTGTCAGTGGCGAGTCAACATGATGATGTTCTCTCAGTGTATGGTCAGTGTTACGGTCGTCTGTCAGTGGCGAGTCAACATGATGATGTTCTCTCACTGTATGGTCAGTGTTACGGTCGTCTGTCAGTGGCGAGTCAACATGATGATGTTCTCTCTATGTGTTGTCAATGTGACTGTTGTCTGTCAAATAGTTCATGTGTTTTGCTCATCTCACATAAACGTATTAAAATGTAATACAAGGGTCGTAGGGATCATGTTTGATGGTAGTTATAACATAAATTTACCTACCCCTTTATTAGTGTCATAAAGGACATAACATATTTTGGGACTATTTTTACATATAATATGACGCAGCGCAGCTGTGATTTTCTGAGGATTCCTATTCATACAGAGGAAAGAGTTACGGAGTCAAAACATGTACATGTAACAGAATCTTTGGTTCCCTTTCATATGAGATTGATGAAACTCGTTACGAATGATTTATTTGATCTCTTATCAGATGTTCCGGGAAAAACAGATAAACATGCAAGAACATCTATTCATTAAAATTTGATGAACGATTTCCAAAATAGTTTATATGGTGTATCCTAGATTTACCTGTACTCGGACCTCAGGTAGATTTATTTTCATCGCTAGTTCTTCTCTGCTGTACACATCTGGATAATGTGATTTCTCGAAAGCTCTCTCAAGCTCGTGAAGCTGGTAAGTGGTAAAAGTGGTACGGTTTCTTCGGGATTTCTTGCGCTGCTCCTCGCTATAATCCAGTTTTCGTCCGTCAATGTCCTTCATGTTTTCCTTACGAGCTTTGACATTCTTATCTGCAAATGACAAAAGAAACGGGAATTAAGTTAAACTGATATCTAATTCATACTCAAGATCGAGGCTGCCTTTATATTTCTTAGACAATCGATCCGCTCTGTCTAATTAACATTTACGTCCGTTTATCATTTGGTATTAGAAACTACATATATAGATAAAAGCACCAAAACAATACTAATGCGTTTAGGTTACATAGCACTACCAGAGGCGGAAGCAACACTATACACTTTCGGTTACATGTATACATAGGTGTTTTTTCATCTGTTCATGAATACATATCAGAATGTTTTGAATAAGTATAAAGATACATGTTCATTTGTAAGTAAAAGTGTCCAAACAGCTATACAGTAAATACAAATAGTGAAAACATATTGTTTAAAAAAAATTAATGTTTATTGTATGATCAGTTTTTCACACTTACAGTTTATAGGGATCTTGTAAACTACAAAATACACAGTATTCTATGGAGTTTATGATACATGTTATAAACTTCGTTTATTTCATCAATTACGTGCATTGTGTGTGCCTGGTCATATCTGTTGGTTAATTAACAGCTATTGCTGTGTTAACAGTCTTCCTGAGCTCAAGGTATTCCGTTTAAATCTGACATCACGTGTAAAAGAAAACAGGCTGGAGCTGCAGAAGTTAAGAAGTGTTATCATGATTTTAATATGTAAACGTAATCCTTTATATCGTTCACCATTTGATCAATGTTAAATGTTCGCCCATTTTATATTCTCTTTATCAATATATACAGGGGTATGGTTGTTAGAGTCAGTTGTATTATGTTAAACTAGTCCCAATATAATATTGATAATTAAGAGCTGTGGATAGCTTACATCGGTCACAATGGGAAAACACATAAAATTGTATCAAATGTCTTCAAATATTTCTACGTGATGGTAACGTTTTCAAATCACAACCAGAGCAACGGGGTTTTCGATAAACAAGGAATGAAACGTATTTATGTGGATGTGTTTAGTTTTATCATAAGGTATCAAAATAATATTTCTAAATATTCAAAGCAATCAATATACACGTTTACATGTTAGGAGGATTACACATTGTAAGGCTGCAGGAGCCCATATACATCACAACGAGGCTGCACATACTTGAGATGTTTTCGTCAATGATGACGAAGAGTGAACCTTTCTTTTTTGATTTGGGTCTTTTTGCCTGGAGTGCTGATGAGATAGTTAGAGTGTCGTTTAGGCGAGGCTCTGTAATGGGACAAGTGCTGCCACAATGACAACACTCGGCTTGTGTGAATTAAATCTATCATCTGACACCCTCGCAGAATTAGCATGGTCATGTTGAGCCCAATACACTGTTTAACAATAAAAAAAGCAAATTGGGGCTCCGTTCTTTTTTCAATCTTCTTTGCCACCCTGAATCATACCCTAAGGCTACAGCAGACTTTCGATCAAATTATAATTCATAAAATTACGAGGTTTTACAAATTCGCTCAAGCGTCAAATGCGTGTATGTACTAGGTGAGTAATTCTGACTTAATTCAATTATAAAACTGTACCTTAATGACATATCCGGAATCAAATAACATTCCCAGACATTGTTGGTGTTGACATGTCCTACGTTGTTGTTAATAGGGCCGTCAAATTACACTTTTAATCCGCTCTCAAACAGTGAATGGCGCATCAATCTTTTATACAAAAAAGACTGGTACCCTCCCCTGTCTCTCAGGCAGAACAAGACACACAAAAAGGACACTTCTGAGTGCCGCCTACCCTCAAAGCTAACACAGAACCGTTTAAATACAGAACAAACGTCTCCAAGAAGATAGAGAAATCAAACATTTATGTACTTTGTGAATTTTAATCTTTGAGATAGTTAAATGTGAAGGTTTGAAGGCCTTTTATGGATTCTGTTAAATGTGCCCAATAAACACACGACGAGATAAGGTGGTGAAGACTACGACATGTTAACAAATTGATTTAAAGGGTAGATGGGGCACGTCTTCGACTTTAGTGTCTCCCATGGTTTGCTATATAGTGTTCAATAAAGAGACATAGCTTGTATTGACAGAAACGTTAATACAATTCCCATTTTCACATTGCCCGGTTTCGGTACCGGAACTGTCTTAGATGGATATTTCAATTAAACGTTTCAGCAGTAAACACCGCCACACTTTTCAAATAATAATAAAACATTCCCGGATCTGATGGAACCAGATATAATTATGGATATGTGGTGCATAATCCACCATGATATGTGTCACGTTGTTCAAGAACTATCGCGAAGGATGTTTCATGTGGTTTCCTGACCTATATGGTGTCATTAAAATCTTTACCAATCCAATTTATATCGCCTTTCCAAATGATGATAAGGTTGACAACAACAGAACTATTCGTCTCTCAATTGTTGACATATTGCAGGGAAAATCGTGATATTGGGAATAAGCTATCAAAATATTGAATAAACTTCAACATTAAAATGCCCAATCAAGGAAGCAGAAATGCTGTTATCTAGAAAAGAAAATTCACAAATAGGCTAGGGAAATAGGAATCATCAAGTTTAACTTACATTAGGAATGTACACATATCATTAAGTATGGTTATATAAATGGAGTTGTATGTAAACACAGGTTGCAAACAATTATTACTTGTTCATTTGATGACCTGTGATACTAAAGTAAAGTCTATGATAAGTAACATTCCCTTTTGTTTTTCCTATTTCATGTTTTTTTTTTCTTTTCTTTATTTATACATATTTTATTAATGTTTTGTTATTACTGTCATGTACATTATATCATTATTACTATGGAGAAGACAATACTACACTGGATTACATGTATCGTAAATTAGTGATAAGGTGTATTAGCTAGAGAAAGCGATAGACACTTTTTCCAGCTCATCATACTAACACGTGGCACAAAGGTACACCTACAGCAGGGATAGCAGGAATGATAATTTAATAAATTAAAATGTCTGAGTGATGCTACTTTTGTAACTATAATATTGCCCTCCTACTGGCATAGTTGTTTTACTTTAAACAGACATATCTGGGAAGAAAACTGATCGTAACTACGATCACTAAAGCGATACAAATTGTATGACAGAAAGACAGTCAGATGGTTAAATTTAAATGATAAGTAAATACTAAATATTTGCAAATCTTATCTTGCATCTTAAGAAATATTGATTAAGTCTATTTATAGCTTCAACACTACGTCGAATCTAGTATTAGGATAGTTAGAAAAGCATCGTCAATTTCTGAATTTTTTGTACAGCTTGGGGATAAAGGAACTTATGTACCCTACAATATATAGGTATATGGTTTTTTTTCTAGTCCCTTTAAAACAACTTATAAAATATGTAACTACTATACGTATTTTCAAAAGTTTTGTCACGTTACTGTACTGTTCTTATCTTTTGCATACATAACCGGTAAAGTGATGTTAGTACATAGCATAACCCAATTTCTTCGATTACTTCGCCATTTTTCTCATATTTCTTCAATTTTATCATTTACAAGTTAAATAACTTTACTTATGACCTAACTTTCCTACACAGATTTACATTAAATGTGATATTTTACTTAACTTGTAAATTGTGTGGGGATTTTTTTATCTCTTAGAAACGTCCTCTTCTTATGTTTTCAGAATTAAAAAAATACTTTAAAGTCGTAAAATTGTAATTTTTCCACACCTTCGAAATTGAGTTAATCTAAATCATGTAAATTGCGCCAGCGAGGAGTGACATTTGGTTAAATAGGTTTGTTTATTTAGAGTATGGTCTAAATAGAATATTTACAGTATTGGTATCATGAAAAGATAATTGAATAGTTCTCTTTAAACTAGCATATTTTAGCTATGAATTAATGTATATTGTACTCGGGAAAACTTTCGTACAACAACTTTGCTCTCGTTCGTTTCGCTTTTCTTTCAATCGGACGAAAATAAAAAGGATACCAAAATTTGACGTTTAAAATTGAACCTTATGTATTATAGGGGGAACAAATACGCACGAAGGATATTTTCCAACATACAGTCGTATCTCGGAGTTCGAGTACAACACATTTATATAGAATCCATTAAACATGTATTATATAATAAGCACATTACACAGCTTAATATATATCTAACATTATCTTATACATTGTACATTTACTAATTAAATTGCATTCCTTACCCTTATATGAGGTTATATCCAATTATCTCATAATTACTTGGAATAAATCACATCTTTCCATAAAATTAATTACTTATTTACAAAAATCACTCATGGACATAAAATGCATTATATATAGAAACATCATGATAATATATTTATACAAAATTTTCTTTTATTTACAAAATGAATTAAAATCACAATTTTCTAAAATCCATGACAAATTTATTTAAAATAAATATAAATATATATTGAAGTCATTGTCTTTTAACATAAAATCCCTCGATGATTTAAGAGCAAACATATTTACATAAAATCCCTCAATGATTTAAGATGAAACATATTTACATAAAATCCCTCAATGATTTAGCATAAAACATACTTACATAAAATCCCTCAGTTATTTACATAAATATCTTTACATGCAATTCCTCCATTATTTACATAAAATATCATTACAAAAATATCCTCAATATATAAATTATACGTGAAGCATTTTGTTAGAAATATTACATATTTATTGAATAAATTCGTCAAATATTTTAATTAAAATCAAATAAATCATATATCTAAGTAGATATCAAATATTTGCAACATGATTTGGAGTTGATAAATTTAACACCATATACCTGATTTCACGAATGATCTTACGCAATGACTAGGGAGATATTGTTTTGATATAATCGTTGAATTATATTGCTTTGTTCTCTTATATCAAGATTACGGGGAATTCTATTTCTATTATCAAACAGGCCAAGTCTAGGTCAACTATCTAACAATATGTGTCGTTGGTTTGACGACTACAATTCGTACATTACTTATTCTAATTTATATATTTCTATACAAAATATTTATAAACCTATTCCACCATAAATTTACAAGTATTACACATGAATCTATTAAACCTGCCATCTTCGATTCAGTGTATTATGTCACAGATATCTAGTAACTATAACTAACCATTAGATTAACCTTAGAGTTCAATACGAACATAATGTTCCTTTCGCGGTAAGCTTGCTCCAATTGTTTTGAATTACTTGACATTTGTATTGAACGTTTAATTGCCATAATTTATGTCAATATGGAGATTCTTTCTGAACTTCGAAGACCACGTATTGAATCACGATAAACACTCACAATATCAGAAAACATAAAAGAATCATATAGCAACGAAAAACCTAAAACCGAATATCAGAAACATAATAGATAGCAACGAAGACAATAACCTATACTTTGAGAGCGTTCCGGTTGTATCATCAAAAATTGCTCAGATGCACGTTAATTAGTATGAACAGTTTATACACGTTACAGTGACAGTATCTAAAAGAACATTTACTGCATCTCAAATTTATAAACCCATATTTTCATATTACTTCACCAGTACAAAGAGAGAAATCATCATTCAAGTTATATATAAATGAACCATTTAGCCATAAACTGACATCAATATTGGTGCAGTAATTGTTTTTAACAAAGGTTCTACCTAAACATTTTTCATTATCATTTGCATCTTTACCTTTTGCGTTTATGATTGAGCCACACAGCTATTGGTTAACCTTATCATAAAGACAGTCGACGCCAGATAGAAATGGAGAGACGATACTGACTTCATTAAGAAATGCATATAACATTTGAAGCATTTGTAGGACATATCTAAATATACAAGATTATAATAATTGTTCCTCCGATCATAAAATATTTATGAAAGAAGAATCCCGAAGCTAACGAGAGTACATACCTGTAATTTTGAAAACTCTACCGGAAGTGTCTTTTCTGTGATGAATGTGATGTTGCAGTGTGTTTCTGTGTTCATCATCAGTAGGAAAGTCATGTGAACAAATATCCGGTTCACCTCTTATTCCAAGTAAGGCGTCGATACTGTGGAATCCCGTGGATCCTGCAGATGAAACCGTCACATGCATTGCCGGAAGTGCCTGATTCATAATTTGTCAAAATCTTCTGATCCTCTTCCTCAAATATCGTGCAGTTAATATTTCTACACTAGCTGTATAGGTTGGTGATGCTGATCACAATACAGTGTGTCCTTGTACACGTTTGTATAAATACACTTACGTGCTCAAAGTCAATTTGCCACCATTCTCATATTTGATGGCGACCAATTAATTTCCCTTGACCCTTTAATTGGTGGTATGGGTAAAACTCACTTGTGTATAGTTACATTAAA